CTGCTTTTCCAGTCCCCTCCCCCACAACTCTTTGCTGCTTTTCCAGTCCCCACCCCTCAAGGTCTTTCCCTGAATCTCCTGATTACAGGGTTCCTGTGCACATCGATGCACTGCCAATGCGTCTACCTCCACGAAGGTTATTGGCATCCAGAGACAAAGTTATGTAAGCAGAGGTAGAGCCATCAGCAGGGCAGCACTGTTTACAGGAACCCTATATTAGAGCAATGCACGCTCTATTATTGTGCCATAGTGCAGTAGGTATTTAATTGTACGGGATTCTTTTAGTCTGAGGATAAGCTGAAGTGAATGTAAGTGGCATTGTCCTTTGAGTCTAGTGTTGCTTACACAATGCTGTTTAATAGGTCATTCACCTTTATTTTCGTATAAAGGAAAGAGCTATGAAATGTTCACTCCTATACCACCCATCTCTGTCTCTCACTGCTTTTGCCCCCATGTGACCTTACATTTGTTCTTCTCCAATAAAAAAATAAATTTCTTAACCTCTTATAAATAATTTGTAAAACAGTTCTACTTTTTAAACAATACAAATAAAATATGTGCCGCGCTTTCTACTATAAACAACTTCAAATAAACAATACAAAAACAAACATAAAATATCAGTGGTGCCATGCAGTCTCTAGATACTTAATGAATTCATATGTTGTCCATAGATCTCTGGCTCTACCCTATGTACGTTACGTTGGCACACTCCTGACGAAGTCACATGCAGACCTAACATACATAGGGTGGAGCCAGAGACTGTCTACAGGCTAGCAGGGATGCTTAGGATTAGATTGCGGCTGCAGCCAGACTTTATGAAGGATTTGTTTTCCTTCTTGCACTTTATGACCTTACTCACAGGGTCATTCTGCCAGGTGAGCTGCACTCCAGTGGGTGTATTTTGGTGAAGGCAATTCTCACAACTGTGAAGAAAAAGTATTTCACATCACGGAAAAGACTGTGGCTGTGATTCTTGTTTTAGAGCACGTATATGAACAGGCGCTTACACAGAATGGCACAGTACAATGCAATAAACCCCGCTGCAAACTTTGCCAACATATATGTGACAGAAATACAGCGAGTCACAATAACAAAGCGTACACCATTAAGGGGTCATACTTATGCACATCTGCTAACGTGGTGTACATGATACAGTGTTCAGCATGTGACAAAGGTTGTTACATTGGGGAAACTGGCCTTAAGCTGCAGCTCAGGATGAGCCTACACAGGAGCTCGATCAAGAACCACAAAGAGGATGAATATTGCACTTCAGTAGGACATCACTTCTCCCAGAAGGATCACTCCATCCAAAACCTCAATATCAAAGTACTAAAAGGGAATTTTAAAAACTCTCATGAAAGGAAAACATTTATTATTTATATTTGTATAGTTTATTTTCACTTTTTTTATATATAATTGTTAGAGAAGATTAGTTACCTTATAGTAAAAAGCGCAGCACATATTTTATTTGTATTATTTGATTTGGGTTTACACTAAAGTAGTGATCGCAGCAGTTAGGGTAAGTATTGGCACAAATAATTTTTGTATTTTATTTAGTTAATAATTTTCTCTACTTTTATTTTCTATTTATTGATATTTTTTTTTTCCTGGCTCACAAGATGTTCCAGTGTAAAAGAAACTTAAAATAAAAGAAAAACTGTCAGTTTTACTACCATCCACAGTGTACATTTCCGATAATATTTCAAGACTAAAAAGGAACCATGCATTATTAACTCTTCATATATGCACACCATATAACTCCTCGAAGCTTAAATAATCACTTTAAACGCTTCATTCCACAATGTTAATCCTGGCCAAACACTGTACTGGGTCCATTACTATTACAACCAATTGCATATCCACATTTATTTAAAGTCTTGCATATTTAGCATTCCAGTGCATAGAGCTATCCACAGCTCTAGATCACTATATATATTCATTAAATACAGTACTGTGATATCCTATCTACACTGTAATATGATGTCTAATGAGTTAACATTAAAGTCATACTAAAATGGATTTGTGTTTATATGTGCAGCACAAATCACATTTGAATTTAGGTCATGCTTTTTCCTTTTCTTAGAGAAAACCGTAAAACTCACCAGAAGCACTCTCCTATTACCAACTAAGGGCTTGTTTAGGACAAGAAAGGTTTTGGCCCCTGGCCCATGTGCCCCCTTGCTAGTTTTCTATTTGTGTTGGTCAGTAAAATAGCTACAGTTTTATAGAGGTAGGACAACACCGAAGAGGAGACTGGGAAAGGGATAACAGAGCTACTATAAAACAGGCTTTTGAGATCAGTCGAGGTTACTTTGTACTTTTCTCCATTCTAATCAATATGTATGCATGGCATTTGCATCTCAAAAGCTTGTATACGCTAGCCTGTACTGTGATCAGGGATCCAGTTGGGTAAGCAACCTTGTAGTTATGTTTAACATAGGACTGCACTCAAATGTAACATTTCAGTAATGGATCCATTTCTTGATTGCTTTGTTTAATCAAGAGTAGCTGTTAGAATTCTGGATTCTTATATTTTCTTAATTTGTAACACTGAGGGCCACATTGTAAATCATTAAAGCAGTCAGTCAGGATACAAAACAAGCATGCAATGTTAAAACTTACCCGCTGGTCACCTCCTTCTCTACGTGGGTCGAGTTTCTTTGCAAAGTGCCTTAAATTGTCGTAGTTATGAAAATTGCAAAGTTCTACCAAGTCCTGTGAAAACAAAAGCAAAACAAACATTTGTTTCTGCATGGTATAAACAGCAAGCATTTAAATAGCAATCTATGACTATATATTTGGAACAAAGTCCTTAGAGTCCATCATCAGATGCAAATGATCACTAATAGAATTTGGAAGAATAACAGCAAATAAGAGTTTATTGGGAGATTAATGCATGCGACTCGCTCATTCTCTTTTCAAAACAAAAGGAACATGCCATACAACTAAACATCTACAGTGTTTCTTTACACACCTGACAAAACTGGATCCCACGGACACTATTTCCCAACTTATCCAGGGGAGGAGACCAACACATAATGCCCATAACATTGGGGACCACAAGAAGGATCCCTCCTCCAACTCCAGATTTTGCAGGGAGGCCAACCTATGACAGACCAAAGAAAGTAATTGAGTAAACTGATGAGCTATTTTTGACATATATACATTGCTGATAAGATGTTGAACATTCAGATTTCATAGAACACAATCAACTGGCAGTACTTTATAGTAATTATTATAATAAAAGTGACAATCTGGCAGCAAGACACGCCTCTATACCTGCTTTGGATTTGTATGGACATGTTTGTGGATGAGCACCTGAGCATTTACCATACAATTAGAGTAATTCTAATTTTTATTGTCACACTTTTTTTATATATAATTGTTAGAGAAGATTAGTTACCTTATAGTAAAAAGCGCAGCACATATTTTATTTGTATTATTTGATTTGGGTTTACACTAAAGTAGTGATCGCAGCAGTTAGGGTAAGTATTGGCACAAATAATTTTTGTATTTTATTTAGTTAATAATTTTCTCTACTTTTATTTTCTATTTATTGATATTTTTTTTTTCCTGGCTCACAAGATGTTCCAGTGTAAAAGAAACTTAAAATAAAAGAAAAACTGTCAGTTTTACTACCATCCACAGTGTACATTTCCGATAATATTTCAAGACTAAAAAGGAACCATGCATTATTAACTCTTCATATATGCACACCATATAACTCCTCGAAGCTTAAATAATCACTTTAAACGCTTCATTCCACAATGTTAATCCTGGCCAAACACTGTACTGGGTCCATTACTATTACAACCAATTGCATATCCACATTTATTTAAAGTCTTGCATATTTAGCATTCCAGTGCATAGAGCTATCCACAGCTCTAGATCACTATATATATTCATTAAATACAGTACTGTGATATCCTATCTACACTGTAATATGATGTCTAATGAGTTAACATTAAAGTCATACTAAAATGGATTTGTGTTTATATGTGCAGCACAAATCACATTTGAATTTAGGTCATGCTTTTTCCTTTTCTTAGAGAAAACCGTAAAACTCACCAGAAGCACTCTCCTATTACCAACTAAGGGCTTGTTTAGGACAAGAAAGGTTTTGGCCCCTGGCCCATGTGCCCCCTTGCTAGTTTTCTATTTGTGTTGGTCAGTAAAATAGCTACAGTTTTATAGAGGTAGGACAACACCGAAGAGGAGACTGGGAAAGGGATAACAGAGCTACTATAAAACAGGCTTTTGAGATCAGTCGAGGTTACTTTGTACTTTTCTCCATTCTAATCAATATGTATGCATGGCATTTGCATCTCAAAAGCTTGTATACGCTAGCCTGTACTGTGATCAGGGATCCAGTTGGGTAAGCAACCTTGTAGTTATGTTTAACATAGGACTGCACTCAAATGTAACATTTCAGTAATGGATCCATTTCTTGATTGCTTTGTTTAATCAAGAGTAGCTGTTAGAATTCTGGATTCTTATATTTTCTTAATTTGTAACACTGAGGGCCACATTGTAAATCATTAAAGCAGTCAGTCAGGATACAAAACAAGCATGCAATGTTAAAACTTACCCGCTGGTCACCTCCTTCTCTACGTGGGTCGAGTTTCTTTGCAAAGTGCCTTAAATTGTCGTAGTTATGAAAATTGCAAAGTTCTACCAAGTCCTGTGAAAACAAAAGCAAAACAAACATTTGTTTCTGCATGGTATAAACAGCAAGCATTTAAATAGCAATCTATGACTATATATTTGGAACAAAGTCCTTAGAGTCCATCATCAGATGCAAATGATCACTAATAGAATTTGGAAGAATAACAGCAAATAAGAGTTTATTGGGAGATTAATGCATGCGACTCGCTCATTCTCTTTTCAAAACAAAAGGAACATGCCATACAACTAAACATCTACAGTGTTTCTTTACACACCTGACAAAACTGGATCCCACGGACACTATTTCCCAACTTATCCAGGGGAGGAGACCAACACATAATGCCCATAACATTGGGGACCACAAGAAGGATCCCTCCTCCAACTCCAGATTTTGCAGGGAGGCCAACCTATGACAGACCAAAGAAAGTAATTGAGTAAACTGATGAGCTATTTTTGACATATATACATTGCTGATAAGATGTTGAACATTCAGATTTCATAGAACACAATCAACTGGCAGTACTTTATAGTAATTATTATAATAAAAGTGACAATCTGGCAGCAAGACACGCCTCTATACCTGCTTTGGATTTGTATGGACATGTTTGTGGATGAGCACCTGAGCATTTACCATACATATTTAGTGCGGTGGCTACCCCTGGGACTAATTATATATATATATATATACACACACACACACACACACACACACATATACGGTATGTCCAGCGGTTTAGGGACATGTTAGGTAGCAAAAATTAAATAAAACATTAGCCCTTTCTCCGCAGAGCATCCGCCTTGGACACTAGCAAAAAACTGCAAGCTATGAGGTAGAGGAATTATACTGAGCTGGCCCACTACCGTTTTATTTGCTTGTGTCCAAAATCCTTCTGTAGGCGGCAGAATAACCCAACAGTCTCTGAAATTCTTTATCCCTCAATGAATGAGAAAAGTATACTTAAAATAACTATGGGGTAACCTCTTTATCCCATAGTTCTCTTTAGGGTCTTGGGAGGACATATACTAACATCCTCCCATGACCCAAAACTCAGTATATAGTGGGCTATTGCCCGCTATAAAGCAGTGAGTGAGCGGCGGTATGTGTTCGCTCACTTCTTGATCAATAGAGCCGTCATCTGACAGATTCAATGTCACACGTCGGCTCTAACTATGGGGATGAGTGTAATTCACTCACCCCTTAGTTCCCCTCTAAGGAAAATATCTCATTAACTCAAACAAGCTCAGATATATAATAAAATCACATGTGCATGATGTAAATAATGTATGATACCAGTGGCATTTTAGCAATCTTATACATGCACAGATGCAAATACCACAAAAAAAAAAGAAATCCACTTATGTATATCTTCACACACAAATTGGTTTGTTTAGTAAGACAAAAAGCAATATTAAAACTGTGGTAACCCAAAGCAACTAATAAGAGTTCATCTTTCACAGGTATGACTAAAATGGTAATGTAATTACTTGGGGTTTGAAAGGCTGCTGGTAGAACTTCTCAGTAAGGTTATGGATATTTGCTCCATCTATAACACAATCTTAAATCCAGAAGTGTTAATCTATGCAGCGGGAGATAGTGTCAGCAACTCTTTCATGAGAAATTCTGCTCCTTCATCCTCCTGCACAGAAGTATAAAGGATCAGACCTCTCTCTGTGTGATAAAGAGTAACCCCAACTGCCTTAGTGATGTGATATGACCCAGCAGGTATGCTCTGGTAATAGCAAATAATCCTAATAATTATGAACATTGCTTGCTTTTATCGAGGCATCAACAGCCAGCTTTAGTGTTAGTGCAAATTGACTTGAAACAGGCTCTTACATGAAATGCAAACTGCCCTGAGAAGTCATACATCCCACAAGAGTGCATTAAGCTTAGTGTGTTCCTCACTGCTTCTGGGCTCAACACCCTTTCTCCTGTTATTGGACAGAAGCCACCATTAGCCAAGGTAGCGGCCATTACACTGGCAGATTCACAAGTCACTTCAATGGAACACAACTAAATAGGGGAAAGAAAACATAAAACATTAGTATAATATAGTAAAAAATATGTTTTAACAGAATTATGAATGTACTGAAAAAATAACTACAGGGCAAGCAAAACACTAATTTCCACATATCTTAAAACACTTCCAAAATAATGAAACTTCCAGTAAAAATAACAATACTACAAGGTTACTGTGAGTTTGGCCAAAAGAAACCAGGAGCTCTACACTAACACACTGGAAGGTACAGCATTGCCATCGTAAAAACAAAGTATTTACATAGCAAAAGATACCAAACTCAAAGCCGATATATAAAAGCTAGATAAATATGGCTCTATACTTAGGCTCTCTATATAGAATAAAGCACTTTAGATATGGCTATTCATCCCTTTTCTGGGTGTTGTGTTTGCCTAAGCTTTGTCTGTCTTTTTTTCTTCTTCTATCTCCATTTGCCCACTTTTGTCACCTATATTGGCCTTTCTTCTTTTTCTGTCATGTGCATGTTAGGGAGCAAAGAAAAACAAGCTTCAGTTTCCGTGCTCAACTATAATCCTAAATTCAGAGTTATGCAGTACTGTTTTCTCCTCATTCCAATTTTATAGGTTTTCCTGTTGCTACAAAACACTTTTTTTGAACTCCTCTATTAAAAGCTTCTTGCTGAACACCCCCGGTGTCCCAATCACTGGCAAAGCATTCTATTGAAGAGTTTCGCAGACAGGTTCCTCAGCCAGCATTGTTTCATTTTCAATATGTTAGCGGTTATACTTAAAAGGAGAACTATGGGGTCAGTGTTTTTCCCCATAGTTCTCCTTAGGGTAACGGGAGGACACAAACTAGCGTCCTCCCGTTACCCTAAGCTCAGTATACCGCGAGCTACAGCTCGCGGTATACTGAGACGCCGCAGCCGTCTTTAAAAGGAGAACTATGAGGCGAGTGCTTTTCACTCACCTCATAGTTCTAGCCGACCTGTGAAAATGAGACTGTCACAGGTCGGCTCAGTAGATCAGGAGGTGAGCGAACACATACCGGCATTTGCTCACCTCTCGATCAGCTTGCGGTATACTACGCCTAGGGTGACGGGAGGACGCTAGTTTGTGTGCTCCCGTTACCCTAAGGAGAACTATGGGGAAAAGCCTTAACCCCATAGTTCTCCTTTAATATGGAAATTGCACATAGTGATGCAACCAGAGAATCCCAGGGAGACATTTCTCCAGCGTTCCCTGCACCCTTGTGTGGTACATTCCACTAGGGATAGGCACTCTGACAGGCTTATACAAGAAGGTTTAAGTGAAAGAAAAACAAACTAATAGCTACTACTGAATCTGATAATGACGCTTGAAATGACACTATTGGCACGTGGTATGTAATACCGTAGACTGATGCATCAAGTCCATGGTGCACTTTCCCTCTAGCAACAGTTACTGAACACATACTATCCCACCTGAATGTCATTGTGTTAAGGACCTTCTCAAATCAGTGTTCTGTACCCAAAGAAAGAGAGACAGTCAGTGTACATACCACCTTTCCCTCTTTCCCCAAAAACTGTAATATCAGTTTATACACACTTGAATCATGCTTCTTATTTATGGAGGACGAAGAAGTGAGAAAATTGTCTTCACACTGAAGTGATGGCTAACCCACATGTTATTATACTAATGTCAGGCAAAAACACTGATACGCCCCTAACTTGCATTTCGAGTTAATGCGTCTTCTGTTTTCTCACAATGTGAATAGGAAGTGTATTAGAATTTTCTGGCCTGACATTCATAGTATGACAAAGTGTGGGAAAGCTATGTGTGAAAGGCAGCAACCACCGCTCCTTGTTCTCAGACACTAGCAGTGTACAGTCTGGGTGATCTGTAAGGAGGCTCCACACATATCACACATGGCTCTGAAGGAGACTTCAATGCAATGATGTATTTACTGATTCCTGACAGCAACTTCTCCCTCAGCATGATATGTGTGGGGCAGGTGAATAACAGGAATCATTATTGCAGATACTGGGTGGCCAGCTAATTATGTACGGTAGAGGACAAGCTACGTAGATAAAAAAATGAGTTGGTCAAGTGCAACTAGAACTAGGTGCGCTTGTGCTACACACACTACACAGAGCTAAGAAAGGGGATGTGGGCATATATAGAAATGACCTAACCATATCTATTTAGGCTAAAATTTTAGGATCTGCAAGAGTGCATCTGTATACACCATGTGGTGACTGCAAGATGGATGGATATCATCACAGAGATTGTTTTATTACTGTGATGAACACAATATAAAAAAACGCAATGACATTTTTTTCAAGTGCTAAGTGCACTAATAATGAAGGGATCAATGTTCAAAACTGGAGCATGCAGGGTCCATGGTGCATCTGGCTCTTACAGTAGTGCCTGGCAGAAGGGCACTGGAGCCTTTATAACATTGTGCACGAAACCTTTAAGAGAAAAAAAAACATAACTAAAGACTGTTAAGTATTTTTAATGTCCACTAGACTGTGATGTCAATTAGCTTACCTGGAAATAAAAGTCTAAAGTTCCAACCATATCAGTGTGCTCTGGAAAACACTGGTTTAAAAAAAGAACAAATACAATGTTATAGGACACTTAACATAACAACTTGAAAGTAATTTCCGAATTTGGCCCCCCCATGTGGCTCATTTAGATTACATCACAATAACCACAAGGTGACTGCAATACCTACCCAAAAGCTTCTTCTGACTAGGTTTATAGAAATGACTAGCAATAAAAACCTGCACTGTTCACATTTAAACGTCATTATTCACAAGTTTATACTGTATATGTATCATGATTATATTGGGCCATAAACACGTCCATATTTGTGCACTAACAGATGGTAATATTACACGTATGTAAGCAGCACACCACAACCATAAGATGCAGCACACAGCTCACCTACCACAACCTACATCAACTGTTCCTTCCATGCCCAAACAAGATAGTGGACAACTTGTGAAAATCTGTCATGGCAATTAGCATAATAAGAATAAAACTCCGGTTTTAAAAACAGACTACCGGCTAAGCATTGGTAACGTCAGCATTGCACTTTTGGCAGTAGTGCCACAAGGTAGAAAGTTAAGGAATATCATAGTTCATATTATGTCATAACCTACGAATGTATACCTCGGATGTACCTGAATGTTCCAATATAATGTAAAACAAAAATAAACATTTTATTGAAAAAAAAAAAAAAAAAAAAAGAATAAAACTCCGTAACATTTAAGAGAAGTTCAAGTGGGGAAAGGAATTAGAGACTTGCAACTCTTGAACAGGACCAAGAGACCGTCTGAAAAGCAAAAAATGTGTTTAGTTCTAAATCCAGAAATACACATTATGCCGAATTTATCTAGGATGCAGCCACCTTATGTTCTGGCCCCTCGACCAACATGATTATTTTTGATATAGGTGTCCATTAAACTGCAGATAAAAAAGGACCAACCTTTTTTTCCTTTAAATAATATCCAATGGCAAAGTTTCTGTCTCCACTTTCTCTCTCAGACTGGAACCTATAAAAGGTATAGTAGCATGAGTACCACACAGTGCCCAAAATATCACAGAGCAAAATTTATGCAAGAAATATACAGTCCTAAATTGTTTCATGAGAGTTTTCAGGCAATTGTGAAGCAATGTTTTGCACGCTTTGCAAGCGCCTTCAGGCTTGAGCATTTGTGTTTTATCTAATGGAAAGCTAGCTACTAGAAGGAGTAGATGGTTGTTAGGCTCAGAGTCACGCATTTTTGAGGCACTCCAATTGAAGTTTATGGTGGTCAAAATAATTTGCCCAAAAAAAAGCTCATGTCCTTTTTCATGCAGCAAGCTACAGGTGACAGGAGACACAACGCTCATGTGTGATCGGGCACTATTGAAAATAATGGGATTCTTCATGTTAGAGCATTGTCACGTTTAGGGAAGCACAGGACAAAACACTCAGATGAATAGGGGCTAATGTACAAACATAAGCTAAATCTACAAAAACTGCAAAATAAGTAGAAACAAGAAAAGGGGTACACATTTCAAAAAAGAAATACTGTAGTATTAGCTATATCTGATTTTATAGACCAATGTATAGGTAATGACGTCAACTTTTCAAGATTAAAGACTCTGCTAAGTCCTGTCTGTATGGAAATCTATTTTATACATTTGTGTAACTGCTTTATATCTTTCTTTACACTATCTACAGTATATTGAAACTACGCAGGTGCATGTGTCTGAAAGAAAGCTCAGACTCGGCTTTCAAATAAGGGATGAGTCACTGTTCTGATGACTCATTCAAGTTCTGCAACCCTATGGACTTCTCTTAAAACAGCTAAAAAATAACTATGGCAATCAAGTGAAACGGAGACTAGAGTTCCATCTGCAAGCTGGATAGACTACACAATAAAAATGTTTTGTTTTTTTAATATAAAAAAATGTTTTTGCCCTGCTCACAATACACACACACACATATAGATATATCTATATCATATATATATACATACATATATTATATATATAT